AATCTACCACTCTCCATATCTCCCGCATTTTTCCCGCAAAGGAGTTCACATAACACATTTTCAAAAAGTTCAAGCTTTAGAAGCAGCTGATTTCCCCAATCGTCTTGAATTTTGCAATTGGTTCCTAAGTGCAGCAGAACTTTATTAACAAAGTGCTCTGGACGGATGAATGCTGTTTTACTCGTGCTGGCATTTTAAACAGGTAAAAAACATAAGTATTGCTTTCTCAAAAACAATAAGTGCCTACCTAGGTTACACCAAAGTTTAGATTTACACTAAAGTTTACATTTATTATGTAAACTTTGGTTATACGCAACTGCATATTGAATAATAAATTGAAATACTAAAACTGTGTATTATTTAACATAATAAATTATAAAACTTGAAAACGTTAATAATATTAAAAATGATAAATTGTAATAACCGTACATTCAAAAACAATCATCCCTATTCATTGATGACACGATTTTCCTTTGATAAAAGACCGACAACTTTTTGCTCTACTTTGCATGGAATACGATCCTACTAAAGTGCACATGTGCAAATTAGAAGTTTATTGGCCTCGACACAAGGTAACCTAGGTCGGAAACACGTACCGAGTTGTTTATTTGTCTCCGTCCGATTGTATTTTTATCTTCTATTACTTACAGTCAATATTTAAATACTACATACATTTCACCCTCTCTTTATAATTTATCTAGTGAGTGTTGGTTTTTTATGTCATTATTTCTGTAATGAAATTGAAATGGTTATGAAATGAAATTTAAATTATTTGAACTCTTGGGGTTTTGTAATTTCAATATTAAATTTTATTTAAAGTGAAACAGAGCTAATTTCTTTGCAGCCATAATAGTCACATTTGGTCATATGAAAACCCGCACACTACTCGTCGGTTTAGCTTTCAGAGCAGGTTTGGTATCAATGTATGGACAGGAGTATATGGCGATCGTTTAATTGGGCCGCATTTTCTACCTGTACATCTGAATGGGCCGCGTTACTTTCAATTTTTAGTAGAAGGCTGACAGCAAATTAAAAAATTATCACTATGATGTTAATAAAAAAATGATTTTTGGCAGGTCATGCTCAGACCTCCTCGAGGTTCTTGCTGGGCAACAATAACAATTTAATATGTTGATTGCATAATTATAAAAAATAATTTATAGCATTTTAAATTATTATTGGCTGACGTGAGCAAACCGTTTATTTATTGTCTTTATATGTGCGAAAATATATAAATATGGCAACATTGCATCTAGGTCGCTTTGTTCATATCGTAGCCGGCTGACGTCAGCCGGTCAGTAACAGCCTGAAAAGGGGATTAAATAATGATTAAAAAAAATTTTTTTCAGCTTAAATATGCATTTATTTTTTTTTAATCACGCCATTGTATTATACTAATTTTTCTCTATCTGCTCTTAAAATTAATGGCATTATGACTGAATCACCCTGTATATATATGACGTTTATATAAGTGGCATTCTAAGTTGAGCTTCCTTTCCTAAAACCATACTGCCGATCTGATATTAGTTTGTATTTCTCTAAAAATTTTACTATTCTATTTTTCTTTTTTTATTAGATGCTGTTTGTATAATTAATTTTTTATATTTATAGAATACTTAGAATACAATCTTATTAATGTAATATTTGAGAGTGTTAATAAATGTTTCTGTAGCATTTTTATTATTTTGATTATAAAACCTTTCACATCGGTATTATAGTTAGTATATTTTTCGTAGTGCGCAATGTCTACTCCTGATTTACTTAAAAAAATTGATTTGGCTATAGGTGATCACTGATCAGTTATGTCGTAGTTAAATACATATGAATTTATGTCTTCGTTATCAACTAACAAAATTCTATAAAAAAAAATGGAACAGGTTTTATTTTGAGGGAGAGTGTACCTGTTAACAAAAGATAGATATCCATATGGATCATACTATCACTGAGAATATCTATATTGATATCACCAGAAACTACATATACATCAAATTTTGTAGTTTTATTTAACTAATTCATTAAGTGTAAGTCTTGGTGTAAGTTAAAATCGTGGGCACAAAAATTGGGAGGTGTCCCATATTAATTAATCACTCCGAATAACTTTGCAGGATGACCACCATTGAAGATTGAACATTGAAAAACTTCCAGAACAAATGTTGTAGTTGTACGATAATGACCTTGATTTTGACCCAGAGATCAAAGTTAGGGGTTATTTGGAGGTCAACTTTAGCATTTCAAATAGAAACTTCATTGGTTTTATACAGAAATGGAAAGAGCAGGAAATTTTACGTTCAAATATGTATAATTGATCTTGGGTCAGATTGATCCCTAAGAACCTTCTGAAGGACAAATCAGCTTTCATACTGAAATATATATATTTTATGGCAAAGGTTGCTTCATTTTTGTGGCAAATTCCGTACAAAGTACCGTGGTCATGATTTATGGTCTAATTGTGACTATGACCTTGAGCCCGTGGGTTAAATTTAGGGGTCATTTAAGGGTTAACTTTGGATTTGGTTTTTCTAAGGGTCCATCTGACGCAGGGCCAGGTATACATTTTTGAACGTGATATTTTTTGCTTTTTCCATCTTTGGATAGAAACACCAAATCCATAGTTAACCTTTAAATGACCCCTAAATTTAACCCCAGGGCTCAAAGTCAAAATTACAATTAGACCATAAATCATGACCGCGGTAGTTTCTATGGAATTTTTCACAAAAATTAAGCAACATTTGCCATAAAATGTAAATATTTGTCATATAAAACTGATTTGACCTTCAGAGAGCTCCTAGAGACCAATCTGACCCAAAATCAAATATACGTTTTTAAATGTAAAATTTCCTGTTCATTCCATTTCTGGATAAAACAAATGCGGTTTCTATTTGAAATTATTAAGTTAATCTCCAAATGACTTCTGGATGAAAATCAAGGTCATTATTCGGTGTGATCGATTAAAATAGGACACCCTGTATAAATCACAGCAACTTTTGTGACTTTCTTATTTTTTCAAAAAAATAAATAAATTTCAAAGGCTTTTATATTACCCCTATCTACTACAGAGTATGTGTAATCAAATGTTTTTCTAATGAAGTCTATCACTACATTTTTATTATGATCACTATTACTGTATAAAACATTCAGGGTTGCCACCCATCCCGTATTTAAGTCACATATCTCGCGTCCCACCATTAGTTCATACGGGACGCTAAAGTCCCGTATTTTCGTACTTAGGAAAAATAAACGCCAATCGACACCCAAACAACCATATTTTTACAATCACGATCCATCATGAGCAGACGCTCTTCTTACACTCACAGTAGGATTACGTTAAAAAAATCTTGGAGTTAGGGCTCCTGATTCCATCGTTCTACTATGAAATTTCCCAAACAATCTTACAGAATGTTGCCTTCTATCAGGGAAACGCTGCCCATACTCTTTTTGAGCCGCCAGACTATTTCATTACAGAAACCATAAATAAAATGCATATCGGCATATTCACGATTAGTAAAAGCATGATGGTTCATGGTTGTAAAAAAAATCGAATGAAATGTAGTCAAACACAAAGATCACAACTAAGAAAATAAAGAAACGTAAGAATTGAAATATTAGTACACGAAAGTGACATCAATTATCATTACAATGAAACTGTTACCATGAAAAATACCTACTATGTGAAAATGTTAAAAAAAAGTTAGTGTTCTGAGCCATACATTAGGTATTTAAAAAATAATTATTTCTGACTAAACTACGCAGAATTCGAAAAAAAGTAGGAAAATTTTTTCTTTAAAGAAGTTTAATTCATTAAAAAATAATATTATTTGCTTGATAATTCAAAGGAATAAAAAAAATTCGAAAAATTTCTGTTAAGGGTAGTTAGTAAACTATCCTTATTTATAACCGATTTTGACGAAACTTATGATAGTTAAAGAGACTCTTATGGTATGATTTTATGACCTATAATTTTCATTCCATTATCTTACATAAATTTTTTTTTTAAATTTCCAAAGGATATGACCCCTTTGGAGAGCCATATCGGTCCGGAGGACCAAATGTTTATAGGAACTTTTTGTACTATTTTTAGCTCTACTTTCATATACAGTGTGTTTCACTTAAAGTCGGTACACCTCCGTATTTAAGATGGCGTTGGCCGATTTTCAAAATTCTTTTTTTTATGTGATAGTACTCAAAAAGGCCTACTTTTTGATATTGTATTTTTTGACATGTGACTTTGTCTACGGCCTACTATTATTTAGAAAAAAACTTCAAAAATCAAAAAACATATTAGATATTTTTTAAGAAAGAAATGGGTAGCATTTTCGATTTGATCACACCTCAAAACCCTACATACAAAGTTTCATTATTATATCTTATACAGGGTGTTCGCAAACTTCGAAAAATTTCGCTCATTGCAGATTGTCCTGTATTAACAGTGGAAAATATTTTGAAGGTATTTTTTCGTAATTTTATTTACCGAATCCATGTTATATTAATCAAGATCATTAACCAAAAATGTTTCTGTAAAGAAAATATGATCAAAATGTGAAATAAAAGTGACAAATTTATTATTTTCTTAATTAAAACACAAATATGGATATGAATGGACATGATTTCAACGAAATATGTTCCGAACATATTTAAAAAATTTAAATTAAATAAAAAAATTTTACTTCATGTCATCTTATAGGTACATATGTGATGGCAGTAATTTTAAGTAAAATGTGTTCTTTGTATTTGAAACTAAAAATATAATAATGATAATTTGCTAGATAATAATTTATTCATTTTGAATAAAACTGAACATATAGGTAAATCACATTCACTCACCGCTAACGCGGTTCGTCGCAATTTGTTTACTTCAAAAATACCTCATTCTTATCTCTTGTTGCAAGATATACTATTAGTACTATTTCACATACCCATTTACGCCATTTAAGTCGTATATTGTGTACTGTATTTTTCATAATAACAACTAAATATAGCTAATAATGTTTTTGTACACTTACGTAAATGTATGGTTCGGCATATACTTCATATAGGTCACTTTGATAATTTTCAACAGCGGGATAAGCCTTAATAATCAAAGGCCGATTTCCTAATCCAGGAATTTCGTATAATGACTTTTTTATGCCGATACTTTCAAGAGCAGCACTATATACGCCACTAATACTTAGCACTGTCAATAATCCAGATTTTACAATGAAAAGAGAAACCACCTCGGAGCACATAATTATAAAAAATTTATTGAAAACGGATTTGAAAGAACTTCACAAGGAATGAGAAAAATAGTCGACAGGCTGAATATAAGTAGTATTCATGTCTTGCATGACATAATTTGTTTTCCTTCAAAATCACAAACACAAAGAAATAAGCATATATAATATTGTACACTAGGATTTATAAAATAGGAACTGTTGTTCCAATCTGTCATCAAGGCAACAATACCGCATTGCACAGCTGCTATATCATTCTTTAGATGTTTAATAATTCTAATGTCATGAAATAATTGAATGATTACCTACTATACGCTGCCTCGTTGAATACTTCCAAGGCTGTATCGTGATGCTTCTAAGTTTAACAAAAATTACGACTTTTGTCAAAATGTAATAATTAATTATTCAAAATTACCTAGAATCACTTAGAAATGCCTATAAAACAACATCTTCTTGTTGTTAATGAGATAATTCACTGACCTTTGATTTATTGTTTATTATCTTCAAAAGTACGTTGAAAACTCCAAATAATTTAACACTCATCTGGAACAGATAGACATTTTAATTTACAAGGTTGCCAAGTTGTGAAATAAAGGTCAAATAATTTTGTGTTTTGTTATTCTAACACTTTAAATTTAATCCTGCTCTAAACTTTCCAAACTTCACTTTACTGAACGTGTCTACTAACCGATCCTCAGTTTTAATATGAACAATTTCAACTATACCCAAGTCAAGTTTTTCTTTTATAAAATAATATTTTACATCAACATGTTTCAGTCGTTTATTATTTTCAGGGTTATTTGCTATGAATGAAGTTAATTCGTTCTTTGAAAATTTTATTCGAAGATTTCTTAATAAGCACGCCCCGCTAATGCTAAACTTAGTCGATGATATTCGTACATTTTACTGTTTACAACTGACCCACAAAATCGTACAATTAATATTAAAAATATATAGCCTGTAATTGATTTCCTTCACCTCCATCTGAGTCTACAGAACCATGGATAACATTTTTGTTACAATCTAGTATAAAAATTCAAATATCAACAGTTCTCTTAAATTTAATACGCTTTTCCAAGCTTTATACAAGTTTTTATTAATACCGATTTAGCAAGTTAATGCTCTCACATAAGTCCGATCTGTTACTACTCCAGTCGAATTAGAGTTTGAACGTTAAAAAATTATTTATAGACATTTTATTGCACTTTATGGCGGGGAAGGGTATATAGAATGATAATCTTAAAAAAGTAACTCGAAAGAACTGACACTAAGTTGGCAAATTGCAAATAAGTGGCAAATTTACGTTTTTTTTTTTTTCTTCTTTTACTGCCCACGAAAATCTAGACGATGAATATTAGTTATTTTGTGTTGCAGGCAGTTAAATTACCTATAATTTAAGGTACCTTACTCATTTTGTTGTTCATTTAAGAGTACCTACGATGTTATTATCACTCCCTGCTGGGATCGAAGAGTATTTGAAAGAGACAGCACACTGCAAATCGAATTTATATTATTTGTTTCTCATTTTTAGACATTGGTCTATTTTTACTCAAATTAATCACTTTTTTAAACATTTATAATGCATCTTTGGGTGGTAAATACTAATTTCGATGGTACTTTTCAATCCGCCATAATGAGTCCGCCATTTTGGATTTACAAATTTCCGAATTAAACCTTACATTAAACCTTACCTTACACCACCGTACTCGGTGGTTTTCAAAGTTACTACAAATTTCAGCCGTAATCTTCAAATTTTGAATGTTTTGCGGCTGTTACATGCGCCATATTAGATCCGCCATATTTTATTCAGGAATTTGCGGATTCGGACTCCAAATTCGTAATCAGTGACCCCAAAAATCCGCGGTAGCAAAATTGAGACAAGAATATTGAATATGTGTGACTTACACACAGTTTCACAATTTGTGGTTAACTAGTAGTTAATTCCTCACCAAAGGTCAACTGCATGTAAGCTGTTTCACGACATCTAGTTAACTTCAATATCTTGGTTATGTCACGATAAAGATAACCAGAATCTTAGGTGTAAGTTAGCCTTAAGATTTGTAGTCAAAGTTAACCTAAAAGAGGTAACTGTCATTAAAAATATTAATCAGTATCAGTAGCGATTAGGAGGTTAGGAGACTACGAATTTTCAAAAGCTAAATTTTCTATATTTCTATATACACATTTTGAAAATTACAATACTACAATTTACAAATTACAATTACAACTTTTTATTTTATTTTCTTATGTAGAAATAACTATCTCAATGCCAGAGAACAGCTACTTTTGACATAAATTTTTTTTGCCAATGAATCTTTTCTAGGAACCTCTCCAGACTTCTGTGGAGTTAGTAAAGTCACAGCAAGTAGAGTGGTGAGAATTATTATTATTCTTATTATTGCACTTATCTTCCATGCTAAAAATTTTAAAAGCACAGTATACTATGCTAAATAATACGTAAAATCAGAAAATATGTCAGTACAGGTTATTTCTTCTTCTAAATTTTGTCACTTGTCTATTGCAATAAATTCGTAACAACATTCTAAAAATCTGCTTAACCTCAGGTTGGCTTACTTGAAGACATAATGGCTATTGTGAAACAATTGAATTGTTTAACCATAAGTTAACTCTTGGGTCAAGGTACCTTACCAAAAAGATAACCAACGATTATGAAACTGGCAGTTAAAGTGGTATGTGAGACCCTGGTCTGTAGGTGGTTTACAACCCTTTGATGAATACCCTATCCTCACTATTTCACCCTATTTTAGGGGATATTTTAGCGTCTTACAAAAAAATTACCTGTTAAATCGGTTTTTGGGCTGCGGATTCGGATTCAGCATAAAAAAATCATAAGATCTATATACTCATTGTCTCTGGAACAGAACTTTTTGTGGGGTTATGTAATTTGCATACAAAGTTTTTGGATCTTCACTTTTCAAAAAGCTTAAATCGATATTACTTTCAGCTGGTGTGTTCATTGGTTTACATTCATAATTTATTTGACTTAATTATATTTAACGTACACCTAAATTGTCTAGTCAACTTCCTATTAAGCAGTTTCTCGAATTAACAAATCATCTACGTATAATAGAACATACAATTTGTCATGTTTAGAATATTTTGAACAGACAGTAATCATGTTGTGGCTTTGTAAAAGGCTTACTTTTTATTAATGTGCCATACTTAGTATTCCACCATTTAGGGGATTTATTGAATCCATTAAGAGTAGTACCTACTAGTTGTTTTTGGCAATGGTATAAAAATGTTTCCTTTAATATCACCGTGCAAAATATTGATAAATAAGTTTTCGTATTTTATCATCCACAACTAATAGAATTCGAAATGTCGCCAACTTCATCACTGCAGCATAATACACTACTCAAAATAATTAGAGGAACACTTATTTAAATCTCAATAACTTTTTTATTTGTAATACTATATAGGTACAACTAATAATGCATATCTTAAAGACTAACATTTTGTTCGAATAAATTTACGAAAATAAAACAAATTTGCATAATCATTCTTGAGACAATAGTACCAATTTAAAAAAACTACAAGAAATAAATTGAAACACACAATCAAAATTTCAATTTAGAAATATGCTGTACCTTGGAATAGTAAACAATATTGACAGTTCAGCATAAATTGTAAAAAAAGAGGCATCTAAGTGAAGTTGAAGTCGTTCGTGTTGTTGCTAGTATAGAGTATGGCACCAGTATTCGACAGGTTGGAAGAGATTTTAACGTAAGCCCTTCTGTCATCCATCGCGTGTGGAATCGTTACTTAGAAACCGGAGGATATAAAAGACGCATTGGACAAGGTCCTAAGAGGAAAACAAACCGAATTCAGGACAGGTTTTTAGTCCTATCCTTCTTGCGTTCTCGTACATCCACAGCAAAAGACCTTCAAAGTAGGCTCAGAACGACTCATGGGTTGGAAATTTCCGATCGGACAGTTAGGAATAGACTGAGAGAAACAAACTTGAGACCAAGAAGACCCGTGCGAAAACCTATTTTAACTCCGTATCACATAAGGTCTCGTTTACATTTTACACGTGAGTATGTGGCATGGCAACTTCGATATTAGAGACCAGTACTCTTCACAGATGAGTCACGATTTCGAGTCGTTGTGATGGTCGATTACGTGTATATCGACGTCCACATGAACGCCATTCTTCAGTTACCATACAAGAAGTCGAAAGATTTGGTGGTGGGTCAGTGATGGTTTGGGGCGGAATTTGTCTTGATGAAAGAACCGATCTTGACATAGTTCCGGAGACTCTAACCGCTGAACGGTACATTGATCTCATTCTAGAAGATCATGTTATACCAGCCGCTTATGGTATAGGTCCAAATTTTCTGTTTATGCAAGACAAGGCAAGGCCACATACTGCGATTATCACCATGAACTACCTTCAACATCACGGGATTCAATCCATGGATTGGCCTCCGCTAAGTCCTGATCTAAACCCCATAGAACATCTTTGGGATTTGTTAGATAGGCGTGTTCGGAGGCGCTCAGACCCACCTCAGACTCTCCAACAGTTAACAAATGCCCTAATCGAAGTATGGGAGAATATACCACAAGAAGACATTCGTAAGCTCATCCGAAACTTACCACGGAGGTGTCAAGCAGTAATTCGTGCTAATGGAAGACATACACGATATTAGTGAACCAAATCTCACCAGGACCTTTTTGTTATACAGACAGGATCATAGACTGTTCACTTTATTTCTTGTAGTTTTTTTGAATTGGCGCTGTTGTCTCAAGAGTGATTATGTAAATTTGATTTATTTTCGTAAATTTATTCGAACAAAATGTTAATCTTTAAGATATGCATTATTAGATTTATATAGTATTACAAATAAAAAAGTTATTGAGATTTAAATAAGTGTTCCTCTAATTATTTTGAGCAGTGTATATCTTATAGCTCATTTTCACAGTCTTGTTTTCTACGCGTTTTTTTATCAATGTGCCTTTGTACTTCACACCGAATATTATTCATCTAACTCCTTATCCGTAACCTCCTTCCCTGTGTAAGTAATATAATTTCAATACTTGAATCATCTTCATTATTTTTCCTCTCAATTGGCTCGTCTAAATTGTCTTAATATTATATTTTAGTTCATCATCTTCACACCCTAAATGTAATTATAATACTTTTTAACTTATTTCTTTCTTGTCGGCTTTTCATACTAATGCCTCCGTTAAAAATACCACATCACTA